TCTGACCTTCATAGATGATTTTATCAGATATGGGTATATCTACTGATGAAGCATAAGTCTGAAACATTTGAAAAGTTCAAAGAATGTCAGAGTGAAGTGGAAAATCATTGTAACAAGAAAATAAAGTTTCTATGATCTGATCACGGAGACGAAATATTTGAGTTACGAGTTTGGTCTTCATTTGAAACAATGTGGAATAGTTTCGCAACTCACGCCACGTGGAACACCACAACGCAATGGTGTGTTTGAACGTCATAACCATACTTTATTAGATATGGTGCGATCCATGATGTCTCTTACCGATTTACCACTATCGTTTTGGGATTATGCATTAGAGATAGTTGCATTCACATTAAATAGGGCACCATCTAAATCCTTTGAGACGACACCATATGAACTGTGGTTTAGCAAGAAACCTAAGCTATCGTTTCTTAAAGTTTGAGGCTGTGATGCTTATGTGAAAAAGTTTCAACCTGATAAGCTCAAACCCAAATCGGAGAAATGCATCTTCATAGGATACCCAAAGGAAACTGTTGGGTACACATTCTATCACAGATCCGAAGGCAAGATATTCGTTGCTAAGAATGGATCCTTTCTAGAGAAGAAGTTTCTCTCGAAAGAAGTGAGTGAGAGGAATGTAGAACTTGATGAGGCAATTGTACATTCTCCCGAATTGGTAAGTAGTTCATCACAGAAATCAGTTCCAGTGATTCCTACACCAATTAATGAGGAAGCTAATGATGATGATCATGAAACTTCAGATCAAGTTACTGCCGAACCTCGTAGGTCAACCAGAGTATGGTCCGCACCAGAGTGGTACGGTAATCCTTTCTAGAAGTCATGTTACTAGACCATGACAAACCTAAGAACTATGAGGAAGCGATGATGAGCCCAGATTCCGCGAAATGGCTTGAGGCCATGAAATCTGAGATGAGATCCATGTACGAAAACAAAGTATGGACTTTGATTGACTTGCCCTATGATCGGCGAGCCAATAAGAATAAATGGATCTTCAAGAGGAAGATGGATGCTGATAGTAGTGTTACTATCTACAAAGCTCGAATTGTCGCAATTTTTTTGACAAGTTTAAGGTGTTGACTACGATAAAATTTTATCACTCATAGTGATGCTTAAGTCTGTCCGAATTATGTTAGAAATTGCCACATTTTATGAAATCTGGCAAATAGATGTCAAAACGACATTTCTTAATGGATTTCTTAAAGAAAAGTTGTATATGATGCAACAAGAAGGTTTTGTCAATCCTAAAGGTGCTAACAAAGTGTGCAAACTCCAGTGATCCATCTATGGACTGGTGCAAGCATCTCGGAGTTGGAATATACGCTTTCATAAGGTGATCAAAACATATAATTTTATACAGACTTGCGGTCAAGCCTGTATTTACAAGAAAGTGAGTGGGAACACTACAGCCTTTCTGATAAGTATATGTGAATGACATATTGTTGATCGGAAATGATGTAGAATTTTCTGGAAAGCATAAAGGAGTGTTTAAAAGGAGTTTTTCAAAGAAAGACCTCGGTGAAGGTGCTTACATATGAAGCATCAGGATCTATAGATATAGATCAAGACGCTTGATAAGTTCTTTCAATGAGTACATACCTTGACAAGTTTTTTAAAGTAGTTCAAAATGAAACAGTCAAAAAGGAGTTCTTGCCTGAGTTGTAAGGTATGAAGTTGAGTAAGACTCAATACCCGTCCACGGCAGAAGATAAAGAGAGAATGAAAGTCATTCCATATGCCTCAACCATAGGTTCTATAAAGTATGCCATGCTGTGTTATGTACCTTGCCATGAGTTTGGAAAGGGGGTACGATAGTGATCCAGGAGTGGATCACTAGATAGCGGTCAAAGTTATCCTTAGTTACCTAAGAGGACTAAGGAAATATTTCTCGGTTATGGAGGTGATAAAGAGTTCGTCATAAAGAGTTACATCGATGCAAGCTTTTACACCGGTCCGGATGACTCTAAGTCTCAATCTGGATACATATTGAAAATGGGAGCAATTAGCTAGAGTAGCTCCATGAGCATTGTAGACTTAGAATATTTGCAAAATACATACGACTCTGAATGTAACAGAACCGTTGACTATACTTCTCTCACAAGCAAAACATGATCACACCTTAGTACTCTTTGGCTGTTAATCATATAGCGATGTGAACTAGATTATTGACTCTAGTAAACCCTTGGGGTGTTGGTCACATGACGATGTGAACTATTAGTGTTAAATCACATCACGATGTGAACTAGATTATTGATTCCAGTGCAAGTGAGAGACTGAAGGAAATATGCCCTAGAGGCAATAATAAAGTTGTTATTTATATTTACTTATATCATGATAAATGTTTATTATTCATGCTAGAATTGTATTAAACGGAAACTTAGTACATGTGTGAATACATAGACAAACAGAGAGTCCCTAGTGTGCCTCTACTTGACTAGCTCATTAATCAAAGATGGTTAAGTTTCCTAGCCATGGACATGTGTTATCATTTGATGAACGAGATCACATCATTAGAGAATGATGTGATAGACAAGACCCATCCGTTAGCTTAGCATGTTGACCGTTCAATTTTATTGCTATTGCTTTCTTCATGTCAAATACATATTCTTAAACTATGAGATTATGCAACTCTCGGATACCGGAGGAATTCCTTGTGTGCTATCAAACGTCACAACGTAACTGGGTGATTATAAAGATGCTCTACAGGTATCTCCGAAGGTGTTTGTTGGGTTGGCATAGGTCGAGATTAGGATTTGTCACTCCGAGTATCGGAGACGTATCTCTGGGCCATCTCGGTAATACACATCATAAGCTTGCAAGCAAACTACTAAGGAGTTAGTCACGAGGTGATGTATTACGGAACGAGTAAAGAGACTTGCCTGTAACGAGATTGAACTAGGTATGAGGATACCGACGATCAAATCTCGGGCAAGTAACATACCGATGACAAAGGGAATAATGTATGTTGTCATAAGGTTCGACCGATAAAGATCTTCGTAGAATATGTAGGAACCAATATGGGCATCCAGGTTCTGCTATTGGTTATTGATCAGAGAGCTGTCTCGGCCATGTCTACATAGTTCTCGAACCCGTAGGGTCCGCACGCTTAAACATTCGTTGATGATATAGTATTATATGAGTTATGTATGTTGGTGACCGCATGTTGTTCGGAGTCCCGGATGAGATCACGAACATGACGAGGAGCTCCAGAATGGTCTGGAGGTAAAGATTGATATATAGGATGATATGGTTCAGCCAAGGGGTGAAGCCCATAGGGCTTTAGGTTGGTGCAAAAGGTGTTTTGTGAAGGCCAGGGGGCCAAACGCCGGAGACCCTGGCCCAGACGCCTAGGCCCATGGCGTCTGGGCCAGACGCCAAGGACCGTGGCGTCGGGTCCTGGAAGTCTGGGAAGGACTCTTCCTTGCGGGCGAAACCGACTTTGATGAGGCTTTTACTCCAAGTTTCGACCCCAGGGGTCAACATATAAATAGAGGGGCAAGGCTAGCACCTGGAACACATCAAGAATCACCAAGCCGTGTGCCGACAACCCCATCCCCTCTAGTTTGTTCTCCGTCATAGTTTCTGTAGTGCTTGGCAAAGTCCTGCGGAGATTGTTCTTCACCAACACCATCACCACGCCGTCGTGCTGCCGGAACTCATCTACTACTTCGCCCGTCTTGCTGGATCAAGAAGGCGAGGACGTCATCGAGCTGAACGTGTGCTAAACGCGGAGATGCTGTACGTTCGGTACTTGATCGGGACGAATCGTGAAGGTGTACGACTACATCAACCGCGTTGATAAACGCTTCCGCTTAACGGTCTACGAGGGTACGTAGACACACTCCCCCCTCTTGTTGCTATGCATCTCCTAGATAGATCTTGTGTGATCATAGATTTTTTTTGAAATAATGCGTTCCCCAACATGGAGGTTTGGTGGCAGCATATTCGACTCTCGTCCCTGTCATCGACGGCGGATCCAGATCCTGGACTACGCGGGACATTCCCCAGCCGACGTGCCACGTCGACAAGCGCCTGTTCCACATGCTTGGTCATCGGCTCTCAACGCCTTTATGGCTATGGCGCTGGCCAGGATAATGGGATTGTGAAAGACCGCCTGTTCTTCCGGCGAGTTTCAAGGTGACGCCAGCGGTCGACGGTTGTTTCTGTGTTGGTCATCTGCAAGGGCCCCTAGAGACTCAATTGTAATATTGTTTTTCTTGGGGCTCTTTCTGCATAATCTCCAGGACACATGTTCTATCTCTGCTCTCTCTAGAATATGCTGTATATGTGCGGTAATTGCCTTTGGCTCCTAGATGCATATGCACCCATTATCGAAATACACATTTCGAAAAGTTAAAAAGTTCGGAACAAAAATCCCACGTGTATATCCGGACATTTTATGTGCGTGTACAAGGTTTCGGTGAAAAATGACATTTTTTGTGGCTTGTGTACAAAAATACAATTTCTGATGCTTCATTCTAACTATTCACGAGGCATTTCTTTATCTTTTTTATACAAGCCACAAGAAACGTCGTTTTTCACCGAAACCTTCTGCACACACATAAAATGTCTGGATATACATGCGGGATTTTTTTTCGAATTTTTCAACTTTTCGAAATATGTATTTCGATAATGGATGCATATGCACCTAAGAGCCAAAACACCATTCTCGTATATGTGTGTATTATGTACTCTCTTAATTGGTTAATATAATGTGTGATGTTTGTCTAATTTTTTTTTAAAGTAATAACACATAACCACACTTGAGAACAAACGCTTTGCCCGGTCTCCTCGTCTAAGAAAAGATTTTTTCCTCGTATTTCCTCATAAATTAAGAAACAAGAATGGTCAGTCTTCTGATCAGAGAGTGGAGGACCCAGCCACGCAAAAGAAGAAACAAACAAAAAAAAACATACATACATACATACATACATACATATGCACTACATATACATACACCGACGCTAATGTACCATGAGTCATCACAAGTTGTTGAATGCCTGCGTGCCCCGGTTGTACCCGTAGTAGGAGAGGTACCACCGGACGAACTTCTTGAGCCCCATCTCGAGGCTGGTGGTGGGCTTGTACCCGAGCTGCTCCCGCGCCAGGCTGATGTTGGCGTGCGTGAAGGGCACGTCCCCGTTCCCGGGCATCTCCACCACGTTCTTCTTCGCGTTCACCCGCAGGTACCGCTCCAGGATCGACACCAGCGTCGGCACCGTCACCGGCGCCGTGTTCCCCAGGTTGAAGATCCTGTACGGCGCCGGCCCGCGCTTCCTCCCGCCCGTCCCCGTGCTCCGCCCCGCCGTGTCCAGCGACGCCAGGCACCCGCGCACGATGTCGTCGATGTACGTGAAGTCCCGGGCGAGGTCCACGTGGTCCCTGCCCCGGTACACGGTGATCGGCTTCCCCTGGAGGATGTTCCGGGTGAAGGAGAAGTAGGCCATGTCCGGCCGCCCCCAGGGTCCGTACACGGTGAAGAAGCGGAGGCCGGTCACGGACAGGCCGTAGATGTGGTTGTATGTGTGGGTGATCTCCTCGCCGGCCTTCTTGGTGGCCGCGTAGAGCGACGCCGGCCGGTCCGTGCGGTGCGCCTCCGAGAAGGGCACCGCGTCGTTGAGCCCGTAGACGGAGGAGGAGGACGCCCACACCACGGCCGGCTGCGGGTCCGCCTCCTTGCACGCCTCCAGGAGCGACACCAGCCCCGCGATGTTGGAGTGGACGTACGACGCCGGGTTCTCCATGGCGTACCGCACCCCGGCCTGCGCCGCCAGGTGGAGCACGTGCGTGAAGGGCACCACGTCGAAGAGCTTGGTGAGCAGGCGGCCGTCGTTGATGTCGCCCTCCACCACGAACACGCCGTGCGACGCCAGCAGCGCGCGCCGGGCCTTCTTCAGCGACGGGTCGTAGTACTTGTTGAAGTTGTCGATGCCGACCACGCCGTCGCCGCGCTTCCGCAGGGCCAGCGAGCAGTGCGTGCCCACGAACCCGGCGGCGCCGGTCACCAGCACGGACAGCCCCGCGCCCTCCGCCGACCCGGGCGGCCGGCGGGGCGACGCCGACGCGCGGATCTGCCGCTCCCAGTGCAGGCCGCCCCAGGACGCGGCGAAGTAGCGCGACGAGGTGTCGACGAAGGAGTGGAAGCTGAGGTACGTGGCCGTCATGGCCACGAGGAAGAGCGCCCACAGGAACATGGTGCCCGTGGAGGCGAAGCACCGGTGCAGCTGCCGGGTCATGGCACCCGCCCGCTCGATCTTCACCTTGCCCGGCGTCGACGGCAGCATGTCCTCCTCCTCCTCGGCTAGCACCCGCATCCTCTGCTCATGCAAGCAAATGAAGAAAAAGAAAGAGGAGACCAACGGGCGGCCGGCCGGCCGGCGGCGGCGGCGGGCTCCTCTTATCGGTGGGATCGGTCGATCGATCCTCCTGTCGTGTCGACCGCAGCAGCGCGCGACCGGTCAGCTGCTCGTCGCAACAATGGACAGAATGTGTGCCTCCGCTGAGGTGGTCGATCTCGTTGCGCGAGCGCTGTCGCCGATCATTCTCGTTCCAAGAAATTCCCGGCGCCTGCTTAGGAGGGCGTGGGTTATAAATAGGGTGGTTTTGTGTTTCGGGGCTCGGCGATGTTGGTGGACATCCCTGTAATTTAGCCTGGTGTATTTTTAGCCTCCTGTGTGAAGACAAGAGGAAGACAAGCGAAGAAGAATTGATGCTCTTGTCTTGTTTGCTGTGCTCACGCCATTGGCATACACATGTGTGAGCTCATTTGTGGAAGAGGAGACAACAGAAGAGAAGAGAAGAGAAGAGTGCTCTTGTTTGCTGTGCCTGTGCTCACGGCATTGGCATACGTATGTGTGAGCTCATTTGTAGAAGTTTGGGATATGGTATCGAGTATATGTGCATGTGGAGTAAATAACCAAAAACTATCGTAATTGAGGCAACCGCCGCAAAGAAAAAAAAACTATCACAATTCAGAGCGTCTACAGCCGGACGCCCAAACCTGCCTCATACGAGCACAAGCGGACACCCGGTCAGTGACCGATCACAAAAAAAACTACTCAGACAGGCGCCTCAAATGGACCTCAAACGCCCGGACTGACTAGCACCCCTCATATCCAGTCCAAATATGAGGCAAATATGGGGAGGCAGGCTGCGTAGACCAGATCCCACACGAAAACATTCCAAAACCCGATGGTCCAAAGCTCGTCTCCTCCGTCACCGCTTGGCGCCGCTCTGACAGGCCGCGTAGTGCTCTAGCCCGGCTATTTAAGCCGACCGCCGACACCGAAACATTGTCCATCCGCATTCCCCTCCCCCCTCCCGTTCGCCACCGCCACCACTTCCCACTCGCCGTCCACCACCAGTAGTAGCCATGACCCCACGCGGCCTGGTAAGGAGCTACCCATATCTAAAGTTGAAGCGTTGGCTGCAGCTCCTTGAGCAGATCCAGGAAAGGCGCGAAGCACGAATCGTCGTGGGACTACCTCCAGCGTGGTGGATCTGGAGGAGGACTTGGAGGAGGTGGAGGTGGAGGAGGACGGGGACGACGCAGAGCATGAGGAGGAGCTGGACGAGGAGTGGGAGGAGGATGGGGAGGACGTGGGGGACGCTGGGGACATGGATCTGCAGGCGGAGTAGCAAGCAATCGTCGATTCCCTCCGGTCAGAATCGGCAGAGGCCAAGCGTCGTCGTCTGCAAGAGGCGGAGGCAGGCAGATCTCAATGAGATGCTCGTGTATATGGATGAGTAGGGGCCGGAGCCATACTACGTGTCCATCCACCTGGCGCCTAGCACCGACGTCGTGGACATCTCCGACGATGAAGTGTAGAGGCTGGCGCGATGGTAATACGTATGATTTGTTTCGCATGGTTTGTATGGATCTAGGGGATGAACTCTGAGGTACTCAAATGCATGGCACCAAGTGTGAGGTGTGATTGATCAGTTCCCGCAGACGCGCCCGGTCACGTCCACGGGCATTTGAGGGGCCGAATTTGCCAAGTCTAGATGTAGATGCCCTTAGAGGCCTAACAAAAAACCATCACTTTTATGGTAATTTTTTTGCAATGAATCACCACTTCCCATTAGTGACTGATTCATTCGATGACGCGTTTATGACTGGGCAGGCCCACCTGTTGGCACAATAGTCAACTCCATTACGTCTGACCAGCACAATGGGCATTATGACATGTGGGACCCACATGCCAGTGTCAATAAAAAATCACCAATCTCATTCTCTCTCCCTCCTCAGTCCTCATGACCCCTCTCCCTACCTGATACACGCTGTCACCGCCATCCTCATGTGCTCGTGTGCACGCCAGCCCTGCCACGTGCCGACACCGCCCACAGCAGATGACCGTTAGAGCTCCGGCGTGCCCCATCCCCTCTTCTTCCCCGAGCTCCTCCTCTCCGGCCATGTGTTACCCCCAGCCACCGCCGCCCCCACCCCCCCTACAACTCAGCTACCGGCGCGGATGCCACCTCCCTTCTCACACGTCGGTTGCGCCGCAGACGCAACCTTGGTCGCATCACAACATCAGACTACTCACAATGGGAGTAACTTCAACAGTAACGTAAGGCCCAACTCAGCAAATTTGCTTATGTGACAATGATTTAATGAGGAGAGAGATGAATTGAGTAACATAGCTAGTTACTCATACTATGAGTAACATCACACATACCAAGACAAAATGAGACTACAAGCTAATAAATGAAGTGTTGCGGACACCACACATATGTTAATTCCCATTATGGAGGTAGTAACATAGACTAGTAACATGAACATAGACTAGTAAGAGCAACTCCACTCGTTCGGCCCCCCAGCGCAGCGGTCAGCGCTATTTCGGACCTTCGCCCAGCGCTTTTTAGGCCCTCGAGGTGATCTCGGTCCCAACCACGCCCCCAGGTGCCGCCCCAAGGTGTCATAAATTCAAACTTGTCCTTTCCCGCTACCCAAAAAACGCCACAAGTCCGGCGACTAGCGCCACAAAGTCCCGGCGATTAGCGATCACCTTGCCACAGTTCGGCGATCACTAAAAAGTTCGGTGTTCAAAAGAAAGGACGCGTAGGCAATGCATCAAACGGCGGCGTCGGCCTCCGGTGTCGGACTGACAGGAGTCGTTGTGCGCGGGCTGGTCGACGTCGGCGCGACTTCTGTGTTGGGCGTCGTGGAGGCGTCGCTCGGGCTTGGCGGCAGCGTTGGGGTCGACGTGGGAGTTGGCACCGTCGTCGATGGTATCTGGTTCAGGATCAGGCCACGCACCGCCAGGTACCACGCCTTGACCTGCTCGTCCATCGCCGACATGTCCGCCCCCCTTCCCATCAGGAATGCTAGGTCGGTGTTCCTCTTCTTCGCGGCGACGTTGGTCCGGAGCAGGTCGAGCTTGACGGCGCTGTTTGTCATCAATGTCGACCATCGCGCCTCGGTTTTCTCTTCCCTCTGGGCGGCACGGGTGTTGGCGTCGGTGATGTAATGCTCGATGGACTCTTGTAGATGCGCGGTAGCCGGCACGACATCCTTCACCGACTTGGCTCGCTTGTTGCCGTCCGGGCGCCCATCAGCCGCGCCCGGTGTCGGTGTGTCCGGCTTGTACGTCTCCTTCGCCTTGGTGAGGGTGCGCCGAACTTCCGCCCACTTCTCGCACTTCTTGATCCGGGAGAACACATGGAGGTACTTGAAATCTTGGTCGGTGCTGCTGTCCTGGAGATACTGTAGGGTAACGCAGCAGAAAACAAAAATTTCCGACCTACGCACCAGCCTAGGACCACTATGGAGACTGCATACAAGGTTTGATCTTTTTCGTTACCGACTTGTAGCGCAGAGGAAGTAGAGTCGATGACGAATGGCGGTGCAGATTCCCGCAGCTAGGATTTACAACCACCCAACCGCGAGGATGTATACCCTCATCCGCCCCATGGACAGCCCTCCGGGAGGCTGTCGGACAGTCCCTCGGGCGGTGTCGCGGACAGCCCTTCGGGAGGACCCTCAAAACTCGAACGGTCACTCGGGCAGCCCTTCGGGAGGATTCACAGAACTCAGACCGTCACTTGGACAGCCCTTCGGGGGGCACTCTCAAAACAACCCCTCGGGGAAAAGGATCGAAACTACGACCTCTCTACGGGGTTGCACACATACAATGTCATCTATCTGGCAGGGCTTCGCTGTCCAGAACTAGTTCCTGCCGGAACCCAGACAGCCTTTCGGCTCTACGAAACTATTTTGCTGGGAGGGAGAGAGAGAGAGCCAGATCATGCATGGCATTTGTATGAGAGCAAGAGTGTGTCTTTAGGCAGCCCCCTCCACCCCTATTTATAGGCCAAGCCCAAGGGTGGCTTCTCCAAGAAGCCAAAGGGGATACTACCAAAAGGCCCTCAAGGTGGCTTCTCCAAGAAGCCAAGCAAAAAAGCACTTTCACTATTCATGATGACATTTTTCAGCGTCCGTTCGAACTGAAAATATTTATGTGGGCTCAGAACATTTCCAGTACCCACTAAAATAATTTTCATCGCGTTCCGAACCAATTTCGGTTTAGTGAATTTCATCTGCGAAAAGCAAACAAGAATGTGTTTTCACTATTCATGAAGACAATTTTTCGCGTCCATTAAATCCGAAAATATTTCTGTGGGTCTTAGAATAATTCCAATACCCACTAAAATGATTTTGGATTCATTCTGAAACAATTTCAGATCAGTGAATTTCATCTGCGAAAAGCAACCAAACCGGTACCGACAGCTCCGGAACAATTCCAACTTTTATCCCGGCAAATTCCAGAAAGTTTCCAGAATGACTCTGGCACCCTCCAAGAATTATCAGGCATGTGCCGAAACCAATTTGACTTACTCGTATATCCCGAAACAACTTTTCGGTTTCACCGAAACTCATCCGATGACCTCTCTCTGCGGAACTTTTCCACTGTCCGAAACATTTCGGTGTCCGAAACTTTTTTGGTGATTTTCTCTCAAACTCCCTGTCTAGTATTCAGCGGATAGATGACACTTAAGCATGTGACACTATAGGTTCGGTGAAGCATAGACATGACCGGAACACTTTTCGATCAATGATCAACATCGGAGCCGTGGACACCCATATTGACCCCTATACCCACACGAATGAATATTCGAGCGAACCTCCAGTTGCCGTGTGCTATTCCTGTTGCTTCATGATATGTTACAAATACCCGAGGTGAGACATGTTGGCATCCCCGTGGATCAACAACTTGTCCACTATGCCAGTTACCTCGTTATCGGTATTGTTCCCTTTTCTCGTTCCCGTGTTCCGGCATCCCCGTGATCAAATCACAAAGTGTCTGGCCAGACG